CTCGCTTTCGCTGCCCTGATCCTTTTCTTTCTGCTGTCCCCGGGCTTCTGCTTTCTCTGCTCTTACTTCTCTCTCTGTGCCTCTGCCCGTTTATCCTGGCTAATGATCACACTCGGTACTCTGAAGATTACAGCCATATATATCCAGGGTATCTAGGTGACACACCGCTCCTCAACAGAGAACCTTTCTGGTGGGCAGAGCACATCTACCACCTTTTGTTGACACTAATACGAAGGGAACATTTTGATAGGGCCTGATTCTGCCGTTTCTGCTAGACTAAGAATAAGAGATCCTCTAAGGAAGGCCTCAAAAAGGAGGGGTGCAGCTGGGGGCGCAGCCCAGTCAGTAGAGAATGTCCAGCATTTCTGAAGCTCTAGCTTGAATTCCCAGCACAGCATAAACTAGCTATGGTGGTACACATGGAAGCCCAGCATTGGCAGTAGGATTAAGGGCGTTCTCAGATACATCATGAGCAGACTAGATGAGATCCTACATCAGAAATCAAAAGAATGAATGAGAACAGACTTTCTGAGGGTTAGCCGCACTGCTCCTCAGACAGTTATGGCCAGAAGAGCCAGCTGTGCTTGTGATGAATAAGAGTGAAGGCTAAAGACAAGGCTGGAAATATTGTCTAGGGGCCTCAGTCTCCTGTGAACAGCATGATGCCTGTCCACCCTCTGCCTCCTCTCAGGAGAAAAGAAAGTTAAAGAAAAGTTGGAATGTGTCTTCCTCAGGAGTGGCCCCCCCTGGAGCTTGTGGAGTAGTTCTTTCTCGGATCTGGAGAAGCTACATAGTGCAGCCTCCTCAGATAAGCTTTGTGTTGACTGTGTTCCTGATTTGCCAAACTCCTTACTTGCCACCAAGAATGCCTACAGATTTAGGGTCCTTTCTAGACCCTTTGTGTTGGGAGCCAGCAACATGGATCCTTTGTGGAAAGCAGTGGCTGAGACATCTGTGTCAGAACCCCAGGGAAAGAGACAGGTACAGAATCCAGCCAGGCCCAAATAATTCAGTATCCGTTTAATATTTCTTTTTAAAAACAGACTCTCACTATGCAGCCCTGGCTGACTTGGAACTCATGATATGGACCAGGCTGGCCTAAAATTTACAGAGATCTGCTGGCCTCTGTTTCCAGAGTGCTGGAGTTAAAGGCATGTACCATTACAGCTGGTCCAAAAATGAAAAAAAAAAAAAAAAAAAAAAAAAGCCAAATGAATCATCACTTTTTAAGGAAAAAAAGTTTCCCTGTTTTCCAAGACCTCATAGTTTTGATGGTCTTTTTAGTTACTATTAATTAAAAAGTCTTTAATATGAGGCATTGAGATGGTTAATTTCCCCCAAGTCAACAATTCATCTGGATTTACCTGATGACTTCTGGCCTACTTTTCAGCATTCCAGGCATTGGTTACCTAACACCCACTCGGAGGCCTCGGTCCATAATACCTTCCTTTTAATAAGACTTAAGAAACCTTTAGCATGTTCCTGCAGAGCTTCAAAGTCACCTTGGCATCAGGGGCACATTCTAAAAACATGCACCATACCAGTTCCATTCTGCAGTGTTTAAGGCAAAGCAGAAGTACCCAGACCTCGGGTACTGGATTCTGAGGAGGCTCCTCATCTGGAAAGACTCACAGGGGTGTGGGAGGAAGGACAGTGGCAGAGAAGCATGGGTTCCTAAGAGGCTCGAGTCAAACCAGAGAATCCAAGAGGAGGCCTATCTGAAACAGGCAATGCCAGTTTTGCTGAAATCCACACTGCTCTCCAGTTCTCTGGTTAACTTTTCAGCCTGAGCCAGGTAAGCAGGGCAACGGCATGGCTCCCTTTCCCATCTCTCCAGAGCTTCCAGTTCTCATGTCTGCTGCATCCCCGTTCTATCATCCATCGTCGAGTGGGAATTATGATGCCTTGCTTTTTAATTTAAATTTTATTTTTTTCACAATTTATTCATTATATATTCTGATTATGATGCTTTAATATGCTTCGTGTGGAAGGCAAGTGCCTGTCTGTTCATATACTCAGAGTGGCACGTTAAGGGAATCACTTATCCATTGAGTCTAGAGGGTGTATGTCTGACAGATGTTCCTCAAAATAGAGTTGAGTTATTACAATTGGGGATGACATAGTGATGTACTGATGGAATTTCTCAGTCTGAAATGGCAACTTACAGCCCTAAACAGGCTGTTTAAGTTTCAAGCCAAAGTAAAAATTACCCAAGATGCATTTCAATTGTTTTGTAGTTGTTTGTGGCTGGTGGCTCCTGACTGGACAAAACAGAACCATTCTAAGTGTCAGAGAACAGCAATGTTCTAGAATAATGGATTCTATTCTGTTATCATTGTGGGGCTTTTATCTGTCCAATAAGAAAATGATGAGGCAAAATATTTTCCTAGCCTTTTAAAATTATTTTGTTTTGTTTTGTTTTTTGTTTTTTTCCTGAGGCAGCGTTTCTCTGTGTATCCATGGCTGTCTTGGACTTGTTTTGTAGACCAGGGTATCCTTGAACTCAGAGATCTGTCTGCCTCTGCCTCCTGAGTGCTAGGTTAAAGGCGGGTGACACCACGCTGGTTTAAAACATTTTCTCAAGATTATGTTTAAATGTGTGTATGGTGTGTGAACAAGTGAGCATAAGAGACCATAAAGTCAGAAGAGAGCCTTAGGCCCCCTGGAGCTGGTGTTAGAGGTGGTTGTGAGTCCACTGGCGTGCAAATATGACTTGAGTCCTCCGGAAGAGGAGTGTGGTGGTTTAAATAAGAATGTCACCTGATCGGTTCACATATTTGGCCCCCAATTGGTGACACTGTTTGGGGGACATATAGTAAGTATGGTATTATTGTCACTGAATGCAGGCTTTAGGAATGAAAAGACTCCCACCATTTCCAGCTGCTCTCCCTGCTTCATGCTTGTGGTTCAGGAAGTGAGCTCTCAGCTTGTACTCTAGCCACCATGCCCGCTGCTTGCTCCCATGCTTCCTTACCACCATAGACTCTAACCCCCTGGAACCAGAAGCCCAAATTAAATCATTGCTTTGGCAATGGTGTCTTATCACCACAACAGAAGATAACACACAAGTAGCAAGTTCCCCTATTCTTACTCTTTATACAAATACCCCCCCCCCAAAAAAAAAACCTTGTAAAATACAGTACAATGAGTAATCCTAACAAGAATGGAATGCTTCACCCTGCTATGGGCTAGAGATTGCTTTTCATTTGCAAACTGAACAAGAGACTTATAAACGAACACTCAGTGGATTCAAGACATCAAATCATCACAGTGAGAATGAAGTACTCATACTCACATGAGGAATTATTTCAGCAGTCAGTTTTATTTTGGCTGTGAAGATGTGTTGTGGAACAGTGTCTTCAGAACAGCCTTTGCCATCATAGTCAGAGCAGCCTTGACCACCTAGAAGCTGACCCCCAGCAGGAGGAGCTGGGGACAGTCATTGGATGCTCACCTGAGGCTCCAGCCTCTCCCTCCTACATCCCCCCCCCCCAGCTGTACATGATTCTGCTCCAGCTTCATGGGTTCTCAGACCTTGCTAGAGACTGTAGAAGGTGGATGGTTGTCCAAGTGGGATAGTCTATGCCAGTGGTTCTCAACCTTCCTGATACTGCAGCCCTTTAATACTGTCCCTCATGCTGTGGTGACCCCCAACCATAAAATTATTTTTGGTCACTTCATAACTGTGATTTTGCTACTGTTACGAATCATAATGTAAATATTTTTGAAGATAGAAAAATTTCCAAAAGGGTCGAGAACCACTGATATCTGCACTATAGGGGACATTATTTATGCTGGATCGAGGCTTTTTAGTGACATAGCTGCTTTGCTCTTATCCCTGTAAGGAACCACGAACCCACGCCCCTGGAAGTCTAACTCACTGCTTCACCAAGCTGGACTTTGGTAGAATCATTGCTTCTGCTTCGGTCTGATGTTAATGTCTTGGCTTCACTGAGTATGGTTAAGTCTCCCCGTTAAATGTTTACATGATAAGATGGCTCAGCATTTTTTTTTTTTTCCTTAAAGCCCCAGGGTTTCTTCTAGACTAATATAACTGCCGTAGTTATCCTAGATTTTGCAAGTGAGACGTTGTGTTAGCTAAGTGCCTGTTTTATTAGGAAAAGATGTGAGCCTGCAGAACGGGTTGCTCTGTTCTCCAGTGATATCATTCATAGAGACCTGTCATATGTGGCAGATCTATGCGATGTGTCACGCTCAGTCTAATGAGCAACTTGCCTGTAATAGGTGCTGAGGACAAGTTTCTACACCCATGGACCTCAAGAACTACACAGCCCCTTCAAAAATTAGAGGCTATGCTTGTTAATTTTCCACCACAAACAAATATGTTTGTTAAGTCTCTTCGCAAACTTTCCAAAGTTGAAATGTTTATAAGCTTGTAATTTCCTGTCTTTCGAGTTTGTGTGTAAATCTTTTCTAAAGATGTAATTATATGAGTTTGAAACTTGCTCTTATAGACTTTGTGGTAACTTCTGTGGCTAGGCGGGTCAGACACACTAGAATGAAAAGGTAGGTTCTTCTTCAGAGATTATTTCGTGGAGAAGCAGTGGAGGGAGATCTGTAAAACTTTATTTCTACGTATTCTTCACTTATCCCTAGCTTACAGAGGTTACATCAGTTTGGTGTGTGAAGGCCAGGCTCTGGAGTATGAGACCAAATGAGGTAGGTGTGGCTAATTTACATTGCCAATTAAGTTTACATGAGTCTAGTATCAACCAAAATAAAGATTTAAAAAATAGCCTGGACTTCCGGGTAGTGCATCTGTTTAATAAGGAGCCCTCACAGTATTAACCCACTGTCCTTTTGCTCGGAGTCAATGGTTACACCCCTCCTCATCCCCCAGGTCTGGTCCTCAGCGACCTTAGGAGAAAGGAGGGAGCAGAGGCGAGGCTCCGCCCCCTGGCGGAGGCGGACAGTTAGTCCTGGCCTGCGGAAGGCGTGGCCTCGAGGGGCGTGGCTCGAGAGCAGGTCACGTGCCCGGCCCGGCGCCAACAATTCTGGCGCGCTGGTTCCCAGGCCCCCCCTGGCTCCGGACCGCGGTTCCTCGGGTTCCGCCCGGTTCCCTCTCGGGACCCTCGGGATATCCTCGTGAGAGCGGCCCGCGTGGGTGACGGCTACCCGGCGGGCGTGCAGTGGGCCTCCTCGGGAGCGGGGCCGCGCCCGCGCAGGTCAGTGTGCTCCGGGTGGGGCGCGGCGGGCCCCGGAGTCCCCGGGGTCTCGGCTGTGGAGCCTGGGCTGCGGGCGCCACATGCTGCGCCACTGCGAGCGACTTGGGAGCGCGAGTCCTAACTTGGAGTTTCCTTCCAGCCAGAGGATTGATTGACAATGGAAGTCACGGGTCGTGCGTGAGACCATTGTGCGGCGTTCTATCTGACCGGCTCTACTAACCCCAAGGACGGAAAAGGCGATTTAGCAATCGAATGACTGCAGCTGCACCGAACCAGCGAAGATGTGCTTAATCCCTGGCCCTCATGGTCCGCAGGAGGCATTGAGCCGGGTTTTCCTGCTTGGAGTTCTCAGCTGTCTGGTGTTCTAAAGCAGGCGGCACTGTGAAATTGAATTGCTCAGCGTCTGCTAGTAAGTTAGACAAAGCTGATTGAATGCCGCTCAGTAGCTATTTGGTGTGTGAGGCTGCTTGGTAATGGAACTGAACTAGCTTTGCATTCAGTGATGACTTCCCAGAACTATTCATTCAGTCTCGGAAAGGATACATGGTGGATACAGTTTGGCAAAGCCTCACCTCTTAGATTTCGGAAATTGTCGACTACGTTAAGGGCCGTCAGTGTTTACATGCTAACCCTGAGATTTTTTTTTTATTTTTTCTCGCCTGCACCTTAAATATAAATTTTAAGTGCCTCGGATGAAATTGTAAGCATCTGCAGTTATGAAATAGCTACAAAGTCCACTTTCTTTTGATACTCTTAATTCTAAATTGCTAGGAGAGCCCCATGTACAGCCTATAGAGAGGAAGATGTCAGTGACACTTTTAAACTTTATCCTTTTCATTTCGCTCCGGGATAGTAACTCTCACGGTGTTCAGTAGCTGATACTAAGAATAAGAGTTAACTTCCAGAAATTGAGCAGATTTATCCGAAATAGTTGTTCTGTGACAGTTTTCATTGTGCACCAATGAAATGTGTCAGTTGCCTAATCCCTGCCCCTGGAGGCTGCTCATTTTTGCAGATATTATTCTAGCAGTTGTATACCTGCAAACAGCCAGGCAGGATTTCTCTAAAAAGTCCTCTTCTCCTGTATTCCTTTAAAGGGAAATGATACTGTTACAGAAGGAACAATTATGTAAAAGAACATCAATTTCTTTTGAGGGGTTGCATGATGTGGTGTCTGTTAAATTACAGATTTTCTTGTGCTGATTTGACTTACAGCTGTGTGATTATAGGGTTTTTTTGTTTGTTTGTTTGTTTGTTTGTTTTTTGTTTTCAGTTGGAGCTCTGTCGTGGCAACTTTTGTTTGATTTTCAAGGTGAGGTATCATTAGCCCAGGCTGGGATCACAAGTGTGTACTTCTCTGGACTTGCGGACAGTTTCTTACATGTTGATCTAATAAGATGCTAACTTCATTAAGTGTTCCCAGAAAACAAGTCAGTAGAAAATAGAAATGGACTGGAAACACACAGAGGAGAGGTAGTAAGCTGGCTGCTGCTTGTGACAAATTTGGCTTGGCTAGACCTTTGTCAGTTTTCTTCAGCTGGGCTGCTTGCAATCAGAATTTTGTTGGTGACGCTGTAAGTTCCTTGCCGTTCCTAGGGAGTGTGCACAGGCTTTGCAGTATAGTTCTTGGTCTATACCAGTTCATTAATGCTTCAGAAGGGGCCGGGGGGCCAGCTCAGTGGGTAAAGCTTGGTGTTGTGAGGACCTGCGTTCGGTGGCTCCCAGAACTCACGTAAAGCCAGACGCAGTAGTCTGTGATCCCAGTGCTGTGACAGCCTCATAAGAGGCAGAGACAGGAGAAGGCCTGGAAGTTTCTGTGACCACCAGGCTGTTACAGACGATGGTGAACAGGAGACCCTAACCCAAGCAAGCAGAGGCCAGGAGAGACACCAGAAGTTGTCATATGACCTTACACATGTGCTGTGCACACATTTAGACACATGAACATGCCATGAGTATATCCTACACAGATGAGAAAAAGATATGTCACACACTCTACACGGAGTATATTTATGATTTTGGCCAGCATGTGTTTTAACTGAAATGGTCTTGATCACTGAACTTGGTGAGGTTTTCCTCACTTTTTTTTTAGCCCAATACTGAACTGGCGCTGTCAGTATTAAGGTTCTGTAGGAAGGACAGGTGTGAGAAGTAGGTTATTAGGTTACTCCATTGGAGCTTCCTCATTCCTTAACCCACAAGTAGGAAGTTATGGTACTCTATAGGGAAAGCAGTCCTTAACTGTGCATTTCCCATCGGGTGTCACTGGAAGTAAACCGCAGTGTGCTTTGTGTTCACTTTCCCTAAAAGTGACCTGTGCTTCTAGTCCTCACTACCCCAGAGGCTGAGGCAGGAGGATCCCTGCACTCAGGAATTGGAAGCCATCCTGGGCAACTGCTAAACCCTTTTCCCTCAAAACTTCTCTTTAAAGAGAAATTTCTGTAACGTATAAACCATGATACATCAGTATTACATGATTTTGATTCCATTTTCAAGTATGAAATAAAAGTGAGAGAAATTTAAATTCATTTTGTTTAAGGTCCAAAAATATTTATTAAAGATAAAATCCCGTCAACTTCCTTGTTCATATTTTTATTATTAAAATATTTGCCTAGTTTGAGACCTCTCTGCCAGAGCTTCTGTAGACAGAATTGTTTTGAAACACTAGCTATTAATTTTCAGAATCTTTCAAGTTGAAGTTGAAGTCAGGGGTGCAGGAAGGTTCCTTCTTGATGGGAAATAAAATGAAGTATATAAAGCAGAAACAAAATGAAGTATATAAAGTAGTAAAGGAAAGCCATGATATCAAGCATTAAGCCTTTCAACTGAATTTAGATAAAATGATAAATAACCAGTGATTAGGCATCATTATCTGTGTGGCACTCAAGTATGTAAGTCATGACTAGCACAGACAGAAGGGGATGTGAATGTTAAGTGTTAAGAGAATAATAGCTTGCCTGAGTGACATGCTCTCAGTGGTCTGTAAAGTGTCATTATGACTTGAGCATGGTCAGCCCTGTTATTTCTCTTGCAGAAGAACAATGCTCATTATCAGGACACAGGCTTAGCAGGGAATCTAGGGGAGAAGGTTTCCTACGTGAAAAGTTAAGCAGCTTTCTCTGTAGCTCAAAACACCAGAGCATGCTTCCTGAAAGAGCTCTCTCAAATTGCTGTTCTCCTTAAATTGCCAGGTGTTAGATATGTTCAGTTTATAATGCTTAAGATCCACATGCCTTCATCGTCCACATGGGGGCAATGACCAGAATCTGTGGCTTGTGATTTTAGACACGGACTTGACATTTATGAATTAGCTTGCATTGTTTCACCCTGCACTGGAAGTTGTTGTGACTCTGCTGTCATCCACTTGGCAAATAATTGTAATTTCTTGTGTTTCTGTTTTTTTTTCAACCACAAAATTAGTGTTAGGTTAGCTAGGAATCTTTTACCAGTGTTGAGTTTCTAAAACAAAAGTTCGTCTAGTTGTTTGGATTATTGCAAATGTCATAATTTGTAAAAATGTGTGTGTGTGTGTGTGAGAGAGAGAGAGAGAGAGAGATAGTTTATCAATTGTTTAGGAGCAAAATAAGAATTAGAGCAAAAGTTCTTATTATTTTTATTTACTTTTATGTAGTAACTTTTAATACTTTCCTTGTACTAAAGGAACATAACATGGGGACAAAGGCCCATCAAGCAGCTGAGCACTTTGGAATGTAGAGTGTATATTTGTTTATAACACATTCGATTTTTCTCACTGTTGAAATTCTTAGTATATGATGTACTTAAACTGTATATTAACATGTTTGATATTCAACCGTGACATAATTATTTTCCTGTGATTTTTTTTTTTCCTTTGAGGTTGTGGAATCAGATCTAGAGTCATGGATGTGTTAGGCAGATGCTCAGCATGTTGTCACGTCTTACAGGTTTAATGATGCTGTGGACAACTGGGCTTCTTCATCTGCCTGTAGAACTCTTTGGCTCTTTGAACTGAAACTTTGGGTCCACTTAGCAATTTCTTGGATTTGTTTCTTCCTCTTACCTACTGGCAACTACAACTTTAAAAAAATTCTTTTTTTTGCTTTGAAAAAAAATCCTTTTGGAGACTGGGTTGTGATTTTCCCGCCTCGGCTTCCTGAGTGTTGGGTTTGCAGGCATGCACCACTGGCTTCCTGCCCCTGAGTTGTACTGTGTTGGCTGCCTCGTGTGCCATACTTGTTTGTCCTGGCTGATGCCATTTAGCAAGATGAGTTCAAAGTTTATCTGGGTTCTAGCACATGCCAGAAAAAAAATTTTTTTTAAAGACTTATTTTTTTGTGTATAAATGTTTGGCCTACCTATATATACCATGTGACTGGTGCCCTCAGAGGCCAAAAGAGAGTTTCAGATCCCATGAAATAGAAGATGTGGATAGTTGAAAGCTGCCAAATGGATGCTGGAAACCAAACTTGGGTCCTCAGGAAGGCTAGTAGATATCTTAACTATGGAGCCATCTCTCCAGCCACCAGAGATTTTTTTTTTTTTTGAGACCAGGTTTCCCTGTGTAGCCTTGGCTCTCCTGGACTCACTTTGTAGACCAGGCTGGCCTTGAACTCACAGAGGTCCGCCTGCCTCTGCATCCGTGAGTGCCAGGATTACAGATGTGCTCCCACCATGCCTGGCATCAGAGAATCTTTTTAAAGGCTGAATTCTATCTTATTGCATGTTTATCATATTCTCTTATTGTCTCTTGGCTATTCTGAGTGATCCTGCTGTATCCATGAGTATACAGTACCTGTTTGGTAGCCTTCATTCAAAGACCTGGAGCCTGTGGTAATAATAGGCTTAGGTTTTGAGGGGCACCACATGTAGGTTTTATGATGTATAGCTAAATGTTGTATGTATAACTAAGTTAATGTCAGCAAGCTTGGATTTGATTTAATGCTTTTGAACATTTTTGTTTTTAGTTACATCAGTGTGTATTCCTAAGTTTATATGTACCACATATATGGAGATGATCTTAGAGGTCAAACGGGGTTGGATTCCCAAAACTGGAGTTACAGGCAGTTTTGAAATACCTTGTGGGTACTGGGAACCAAACCTGGGCCTTCTGTAAGAACAGCAAGGGCTTTTAACCACTGAACCATCTCTCCAACCCGCTAACTTTTCACTTCTGAATTAGCTTTTGAGACCCTTATTCCTAGATGGGCATGGCAGAACTGCAGTGTGAGGTAGGAGGACCACACATTCGACACCAGTTAGACTCTGCCCGCACTGTGAGACCTTTCTAACAACAGACACCAACGAAAAGTGTATTTCTTCAAGAAGGTGTATTTTCAAATACATTTGTTGTGTTCTGAAGAGTTAGCTCTAATTGTTTAACTTAATTATCTTGATATTTCTAGGAGTTTTATATTTACAGTATGTAAAATTCTTAATCTCTGGAATTTAAAAAAAGTTGTATTTAAATTATAAAAGAATAGACCTTGGCCTGGCATGGTGGCACATACCTGTAGTCCCAGCGCTATGGAGGCAGAGCGATGTGGCTCTCTGTGAGTTTGAGGCCAGCTCGGGTCACAGAACAAGTTCGAAGACAGCCAGGACTACACAGTAAGGTCTTTTCTTAAAGACGATAAGGTAGATTCTTGATCAAATTTTACAAGCCATGATTGTCCTTTTAACTACACATTGGAGGATCTCTGTCGAGAGTTCAGAATTGTTGGGGCCCAGAATTATGTGAAGATTTAGTGGCCTAGTCTCTATATAGTCACTTTTAATTACAATAGCTAAAAGTCAAACTATATATAGGTTTTCTACAGAAAGAAATTAAGATCAGAAGGCCCCTACAGTGGGCTTGCAGCAAGACAATGTGAGGTGGAAATACTGCAGTCTCCCGGTTTTATCTAGTTGATGGCATTTTTATGGCTGTCCAGAATCTCATTAATAAATCTAAAACTTAGGCTGGTGTGATGGGTCAGTGGGGGACAGTGCTTTTCCGCAAGCCTGGTAACCTGAACTCAAGCCCCAGATCCACTTACAGGAGCAAGGCCAGAACCAGTTCCATACGGGTGCCTCTGACCTCCACGGGAGTCACCACCACCATCACATCAGTCCCATGGACACAGCAGTGGCAGAAAAGAAAGTGAAAAGAGCAGACTCCGGAAGGAGTAGCAGAAAGCTGTCCACAAAATGGGCTCATGCAAAGTATGACATTTGAGGATAGAATATGGCTCAGTTCATTCTGACCAATGGCATTCAGGGATGGCTTGCCTTTCTTCCCTTGGCTCAAACACCAGAGACAAAACACTCTCCTGTATTAAGCATTCATGCCTTCCAAGGATTATTATTTCAAAAAATCTGGTCACAATATAAATTTGGATTTTTTTTTTCAGACAAAAACGAGTTTTTTCTAAAGGTTAACTTTTACTTACAGAAATTAAGCACTACTAATTTTTATTATGTTTGTGTATTTTTTCAGATAGTGTCTGTCACAGAACCTAGAGCTCATAGTCAATTGTGCTGGCTGGTTTTACATACAGGATGGACTCAATAGTAACCCTAACTAAGACACCATTTGACTTTATATTGTAATACAGTTTTATCAATTTTAGGGCATTTTGAATGTACATGTATGTGTGTGTGTTTGTGTGTGTGTGTGTGTGTGTGTGTGTGTGTGTGTGTGTGTGTGTGTACGCATATCTGTGGAGGCCTGAGGTCAACATTGGGGGTCTTCCTTAGTTGCTTGCTTGCCTGTTTATTTATTTGTTCATTTGTTTGAAACAGTCTCTCACTGTACCCAGAGCTCACCAGTTTGACTCACCAGGCTGGCTGCCTGGTTGGTGAGCTTCAAGGACATCACTGCCTCCCCAGCACTGGATCGAATGTGCACCTCTACATCTGCCTTTTCATTCTGGTTTCGGGATCAGACTCAGTATGTGTGTGCACCTAACCCAGTACTTTATGGATCGAGCGAACATGTTAGCCATCTGAGGCATTTGTGCATGTGCGAGTGAGTGTGGGCACGTGTGTGCTAGCTGAGTGTGCTCTCTCATTTTTTAACACTGGACGCCTAAGCCAGGTTAGCCGGCCTGCAGGCTTCTAAGAACTTCTTTTTCCTTCAGCTCTCATCTTTCCATAGTAGTGCTGGCATCACAGATGTTCACCACCTCACCTGGCCTTTTGTGTAAGTTCTGGAATCTGAGCCCAGCCCTTAGGCTTGTATGGCAAGCGATTTTACCCACTTAGTCATTATCTCCTTGGCCCCAAACTATTAAATGTTTGTTTGAAATTTCAAGTCAATGAGAAAATCTGCAGTTTTGTTTTTGTTTTTGTGTCATCGTCTTCTTCTTCTTCTTCTTCTTCTTCTTCTTCTTCTTCTTCTTCTTCTGCTTCTGCTTCTGCTTCTGCTTCTTCTTCTTTTTCTCCTTTTGTGACAGGGTCTTGCTTTGTTGCTGTAGGTCCAGTCCTCCTGTGCCAGCCCTTCAATTCTGGGACTATAGACAGGAGTCACCATGGCTGGCCTCTAGGGCATTTTTAAAGGTTTCATGATCTTTTAGGTGTATAATTTATTTATTTATCTATTTATCTATTTATCTATCTATCTATCTATCTATCTATTTATTTATTTATTTATTTATTTATTTATTTATTTAGCTTTACATGTAATGCTACAAGGAACACTGTAACATTAGGCAGCATGGCTGGGGCTTGACCACTGGGAATTTGAGGTAGAAGGCATTTCCTTCTGACCTGTGAGGCGAGTCTAGTCCTTGGGTGTAGGTGAGACAGGTTTAGGTGGTTCTTGGGAGGTGAAATGGTTCTCCTGGCAGTGGACTGTAGAAGCAGGGATGTGAGTGTATTGTTTAGGCCAGCAGTTCATGACAACTTATGGGTGTTGAAGGACCCTTTCACAGGAGTTACATGCCGGATACCCTACTTATCAGCTATGATTCACAGCAGTAGCAAAATTCGAGTTATAAAGTAGCAATGAAATACCTTTGTAGTTGGGGGTCCCCACAACATGAGGAAGTGTTTGTATTAAAGTGTCTCGGCATTAGGAGGGTTGAGAACCTTTGTTCTAGACAGACTCAGTCTAGATAAGATATAGGCTGGGCCTGCAGCCTCAGTTCACATAATTCCTACCACAAGGGGTTAACTCCTTGCCAACTGCCTCACCTGTCCTCATTGGTCTTCTAGTCATGCACATCTGGAAGCACAGCTGGGCTGGTAGCATAACTCTGGTAGAGTTAGCAGGTGACAGGCCCTGAAGCCCAAACATGCACACTCCTCTCTGCTTGTCTTAATTTGACTTGTGCTTTCGACTAGCTAATTGTAGAATTTGGAATTGTAAATGATTTTCCTCCAGAACTTCGGGGTATTCATTATTTCTTAGCTGCTCATTTATACTTGAAAAGTCAGTAATTCTGATTCCTGCTCCTTTATCATTGGAGTCTTTCTTTTTTCCCCAGGAGCTCAAAAGAATTTTCCTTTCCTCCTAGTTGTAACATGTCATGGCAGTGTACGTTGATAGAACATCCTAGTCAGTGTTTTATTGCTGTGAGGAAGCACCATGACCAAGAAAGGAGGCCTAGAGTTTCAGAGGGTTAGCCCATGTTCCTCACGGTGAGGAGTGTGCTGGCAGGCAGGGACCGTGCTGGAGAAGTAGCTCAGAGCTCACGTCTGACCCGCACGCTGCAGGTGGAGGGAATGACGCTCGTCCAGTGTTGAAACCTCAACACTCACCCCCACCCCTCCCCCCCGCCCCATGACACAGTCTCCTCCAACAGCCACGCCTCCTAACTTCTCCCAAACAGTTCCACTCTCTGGGGGCCAAACATTCAAACGTGAGCCTATGGGACCCTCCTCATTCAAACCGCCACGGGGATCACTCTTGTCCACAGACCAGAGACTTAAATTAGATCTGTGTATCCCATGCTGGCCTTTAACTCTCTGTGATGATGAGTCTGGTCTTGAAACTTAAAGCGATCCTCCTGCCTCAGCTTTCTGTGTGCTGGGAATACTTTACTGTTTTTCTAACTGCTATTTTCTAGGATATACCTTTATTATCTAACTCTTACTGAGCTATATATTTTAAGAATCAAAATTTAAATATATATATTAGTTTAATTTTAGTTACCTTGGTTTTTTTGTTTGTTTGTTTGGTTGGGTTTTTTTTTTTTTTTTTTTTGGTCTTTTTGTTTTTTTGTTTTTTTTTTTTTTTTCAAGATCTGAGGACCGAACCCAGGGCCTTGCGCTTGCTAGGTAAGCCCTCTACCACTGAGTTAAATCCCCAACCCCTAGTCTTAATTTTAAAACTTTTTTTATCTGAATAATTTGTCTTCCCTGGTTGCTTTTCTTTGGTATTTGGTTTTGTCCTCTTTCATACTTCAGAAGCTTTGTTCAGATGTCTCCTCTTTGGTAGAAGGCTCTTGTGTAAGAGCAGGGAAATTGAAAGGTGACTGGAAATTGGAAAAGGTGGGGCACCAGCATTACCAGTTGTGTAAGGCTCATCTGACGTGGTCATTTGCTGAGAGCCTTCAGCAGAGCTGAGGAGCTGTGTCTTCTGAAGGGAGTGCTGGCTTGCCACTGTCAGGAATGGCAATGAAGGCCAGCAGGCTGGGGGTCTGGTTTTCTCTGCATAGACTACTAAATTTGAGACCATGCTTTCCTCTCTCATCTCTGCCTTCTAGTCCAGAGACCATTTCTTAGCCTCTCTGGAGGATTTATTTGAGCAGCTCCCTTTTGGTGTCCCTTGTTGCCATGTCCATCTCTAACTCTCCCAGCATTGCAAGTGCTGCCATTGTAAAGGTGCTTATAAAACAGTTTTTGTGCTTCTGTAGGACAATTGGAGTCACTTTGATACTGCAAAATAGCTTCCTCTTCCTGGGCAGCATGTGAAAAGTCGTGTGGTTGTAGGTTATGAGTACATATTTCTGCTTGTGCCACCAGCACTTGGCATGCTCAGCTTTTTCTTTTGTTGTTTTTGCCTAGTAGGAAAATTTTTGTTTTAGTTGTTTATTTACTGTTAACACTTAAATATATATCTCTTTTAAGAATTGCTAAATTTGCTTGTTTTGACATAAATATTTTAAATTTGGTTATGATTTATATATATGTATGTATATATATATATATGTATGTATATATATATATATTTAGTTTGGGCATAGGTTAGGAGGTATGAGAGGAAAAAGAATGAAGTATTGCCATCCAGGATCCTTATGTCCTAGTGTCCACTTTTTTCTGGCTCTGAACAACTATTTCTCGTGTCTCCCCTGAACTGTAAGCGGAATGACTTGCCTCCCTTTCTGCATTAACAGGTGAGAACTACCAGCTCATTGTGTGTTGAGATGATAACTGTACTGTTTTTTCAATCTAGAAATGAACACAGAAGCAGAGCAGCAGCTTCTCCATCATGCCAGAAATGGCAATGCTGAAGAAGTGAGAAAGCTGCTGGAGGCTGTGGAGCAGGCCCAAGTGGTTGCTGACCTTGACTGCAAAGGTGAGCTCCCGATGCTGGCTTGTAGCTCTCCTACGGGTCTGCACTGCTTCGTCCTGACTTTGATAACTCTCACTCCTTGTTCCTGGGAAGAACTCTGCACAGTGTGAAATGTCTTCACTTATACCCTCTACGGTAGAGAGTTGAAATCCATCCTTAGAAATTTTATGCCTCTTAAACAGGTTTGAGCGATTACTGTTTGCCAGCATGTGAAGTGCTGTGATCGTGTTGAGAGAGACAGACAAGCTCCTGCCCTCACTGAGATTGGTCTTCTAGATTAACAGACCAGGCTAGTGTCTACTACAGAATGGGTGCCAGGGTGTGGAAGCACTGTGGGTTCTTAGAGGAGAGTTGTAAGTAGTTTGAAGGAGTAGCTTCTTAGGCATGGATTTAGGGTGATAAGTGAGACTGTGTGGACTTAACCCAGTGAAGATAGAGAAGAAGAGGATAAACAACTAATATGAAACATAGTTATGAGAGGGGGCATAGTTATGAGAGGGGATGAATTAGGTCCCTTATGTGGTCAGAGGCTGGATAGTTCTGTGGTGGCTGGAGGCTGGGGAGCCAGGGAAGTCCTAGCTACATGGTCCAGAGCAGCTGGACCTCTGGATTTAGCCATTCCCTGGCGCGCTCTCTCTCTCTCTCTCTCTCTTGTTCTTTCTTTGTCTATGTGTGTGTGGGGGGGGTCTGTCTGTCTGTCTGTCTGCCTGCTTGCCTGTCTGTCTGGGGATTAAGCCTAGGTTAGCTTTCTCCTGCTGAATCACAGCCCTGGGCTTTGCTGAGGTCGCTTTGATGTGGTAGATGGTAAGATACATGGCTTATTGGATGGTTGTCCATTGTTTGTGATATAGCTTGCCTGTGTTTAGTGACCTCTGAATTTAATCTCACTTCCTATTTATTATCCACCTATCATTCATCCATTTCTACACTTCTGCTGTTCTAGGAAGTATGAGTGACCCATATGGGAGGTAGAGCAGGAAGTGGAAATGGGAATTTTGAAGTCAAAGGCATGGAAACAAAACAGTGGAAAAGGGCCAGATGATAAGGAGATACTAGACAGAAAAACAAAGCTTCAAAGGGTTATATTGCATAGTAACAGGAGGTCTAGGTCAGCTCCCATGATGCAGTTGGCAGGTTCACAATGGCTGTCTCACTCGGGACAGGCTTGGTGGCTGCTCAGTCCAGGAGGTTGAATGTCTCAACAGCACCAATTTGGTGCTGAAGGCTTGGAGGAATCCTGGACTGCTGCTGGTCTTCAGTACACGTTGGAAACTGGAAGAAGCTGGGTTCTGATCTCAGTGAAGGGGTGCAGCAATAGGGTAGATGAATTTGCCAGCAGGAATGAAGGCTAGCAGGCAAAAAGCAAAAAGTTTAGTCTCTTCCACCTTTTATCTGGAAGGTGCCTCCCACATTTATGGTGAGTCTTCCCACTCCAGGTAACCTGATGAAGAAAGGCTTTTACTAGCGAGCCCAGTGGCTTGCTGTTAGTTGATTCCAGACTGAGTCAAGTTGAAAGCTAAGACTAACACTGAAGATGTTGCAGAATGCAGGACTGGCAATTGAACCATCCCCCTGGATTTAGTAGCAGCATTTTTGATGACATTTGAGGACAGTGTTTTATGTCAGGGTAGGAGATAGGCTTAGGCTGTAGCAGGTGAGTAGGTGGTGGGTTGGAATGATGGCAAGGACACGTGAAGAGTGAGGAGGAGGGTGTGTGGTCAGTGTCAGGAGTGTTGGTTGGTTTTGGCTGCTCAGATTGATGGGAGAGGCTCCTTGTTCCTTCCTGTGAGAAATGGAAGGGGGAGACAGTGAGGAGGAGAGGAGAATATCTGAGAAGTGGGAAGGGCTGTGATCTAAGAAAGTGACTAGGCTTTACCCTGCAGGGGTGGAGTGGTTAAGGCTGCTGGGAAGGTCAAGGAGTGCTGTGAAAGCTTCTGGTTGTGCTGTGATGCTGACAGGTGATTTCACCACTAGCAGGTGGTAGGTAAGAGGTGTCAGTAGACGCTTGGTTGGGGAGGGGGAAGGAAAGGCCCCATAGCCAGGCATTATAAGAAGGGTACCAAGCGAAAGTGGGGACTTAACTTTGTGGTGCCACAGCTCCTCAGGGTGCCTGTATTTTTCTTCACCATTGACTGTAACCTGACTGTAGTTATGGAAAAACTGAGAGAGTGCACTCACCAGGCTTTGGGAGATTTTCTAGGCAACTGTGACATATAATAGTGACAATGACATTAGGGCTCAGTGTACATGCCAGAGTTGGTGGAGGGGCGATGGGAACTATTGACATGAGAGAGTTGAGGGGCTGACCTGCATGAACCAGCTGGGAATTTGAGTTTGTGGAGTGGCTACCTAGGATGCTAGTGGCACCAGGAGTTGGCTCTGACAGCGGCTACCTGACATTGAGCAGAAATGCAATACACAGGAAACGAGAGGAGCGGCTGCCGGTGTCACTCCCTTGGTAGAATGCTTGTATAGCATGCGAACACCCTAGGTTCTGTCCTCAGACAAACATGAACAGAGCATGCTGGGGCACACCTGTAATCTCAGCATGTGGGAGATGGAATCAGGAGGATCAGAAGTTAAAGGTCACCGATGAGGCTGGGATTTATGAGGTCTAGTTTCAGAAAAGAGGGGAGGGGAGTGGCTGCCGGGATTACTTAAGGGGTAAGGTTACTTGCTGCCAAGCCTGACAGACAGATGGTACCTGGAACCAATGTGATGGAATGAGAGAAGAGAGCTGACTCCTCAGGCTGTCCTCTGTTTTCTACAAGTGTGCCACTGACACACATACACACACGCACACACAGATGGACACACATACGTGAACACAGACAAGAAAGGACATAAAACCTAAGTGATGTGAAGTGAGAAACAGAGACTAGGGAACTTGAATTGCCAGAGTGTTCTTTAGGGTGGTGGTGGAGCGTACTCTAAAGAACAACTGTGCTGACACCATTCTGATTCTCTGGGAGGTTTGGCAGGCAGCAGCCGGGAAAGCATTTGCAGGAGTTGTAGCTCAAAAAAGGGCTTGTGATATGAGTGGAAAATTTCTTGACCAGGGCCAGTAGCAAAATTCTGATGCAATGGCTCAACACATGGTTTCTCCTTGGTGAGGTACTGGATGTTTCTGAATGAGGCACCCCCATCTGAGGAAGGCAGGGTCATTCTGGGAAAGCTAGGTTTTCCTGAAGAAGAGAAGGCAAAAGACACCATTGGAGGAGTTCCACAGGGTCCTTGGGGGAAGAAACAGATGCAGCAGGTGGTAAATGGTGACAGGCACAGGCCCTTGGGCAGCTGTGTCCCACAAAGGTAGGATAGGGGAATCACAAGGAGACTCTGGAGCTGTAGATGAAGATTGTGTGGGCTCAGAGCTAGAAATCCAGGAGCATGGTGCATGGTGGCTGTGGCTCCTGAGCGCTCGTGGATCCCCTAGCTGTTGGGCTTCGGGGATGTGACAGGGCTGTCATTTCTGCAGCCTGCTTTAGAATTCTAGTAAGCTTTTGGAGTCATCTCAGTTTTAAGACCATTAGACTGGCCTTTATCTCTTTTGCTTAATTGAATTATACAGCTTTCATTTCTGCCACTTGTGATAAAAACTCTTCTCAGCATTGCTGCTTGGAGCTCGTATTGCACTGCTTTTAATGTTGGTTTTGGTTTTCTAGCTGTACTCTGCAGTACTCTGGTAACCCAATCTTCTCATTAACTGAGATTGTATCTAACGTCAAAGGTGCCCTTGTAAGTCACTGTCTAAATGAGCAGTGTGGCAGCTGCTGCTGGGATCCTCCAGCGGGTGCCACTCTGCTGGGCTCCCCAGCCCGTCCTCCCAGGTGCTGCAAGGTTTTAAAGAGTCGCTCATTATGAAGTGTTATGCCGAGAGAACTGATGGTGGCAAGATGGGTACAGACCAAGCTCTCAGAGCCTGCAAGCTTGTGGAGATCAGGCTGCTGGAATATGACCTCACGTGGCCACTCTTTCTGAGAGACACAGAGAGTCAACGTGTGCTCACCATCTAGTCCTGTGAGAGCAACCCACTGCACTTTTGCGATTCCTGTTGTAATATATCTTGTCTCTCATCAGCAGTATGAGAGCTGTAGGCCAAGATACCTTGTTAGAAAGAAGTCCAGTTATTGAAAATTACCTAAATAATAACTACAGATACCTTTTCCCCCCATTTTTAGGGAGAAGTAAGTCTAATTTGGGCTGGACACCTCTTCATCTGGCATGCTATTTTGGACATAAACAAGTGGTCCAGGATCTGTTGAAGGTCTATTTATAGCTTTTTTAATGACTATAATACTGTGGGAATCATATGATGAAAGTCTTGAGAAAGCGCTGAGCCACAATAGTTTACTAAAGCAGCAGCACATCCTTTGTTTTTCTTTACTGAATACATGAATAAGGCTAGTATAAAGAGTTATAATTACAACTTTAAGGTTTTAGTGTTACAGTATTAGCTATTTAAAATGACAAAGTAGGGATATTAATAAAATTTTCAGTTTTTCAAGCATGATATTTATGGAAAAGAAGCAAAGCACATACTAAATAATTAAGAAAACTAACATCAGAATCTCAGAGAAGATTTAATGAGAACTGAGACCTCACATGTCTCTCCTGATAATTTTTCACATAGGGATATTTTTGAAATTAGATTACAGTGTACTTAATTTGTGTATTTAAGCTGTGACATGCTCTTTAATACAAACAGTTAAATATTGATGATAGAAGAGATACTTGGAGGTCCAGGGTCAGGTCTTCTGCTAGAGTGCTAGGTCCCACTGCTAGAGTGGGAAGGAGCTGCACAGGCTTAAGGAGACCTCTTTGCTTCAGCTGTGAATCAAGTTTACTTTAGTGGCATCAAACAATGTTGAGTTATTTTAATTTTAAAGCACTTAGGAATTCTTTGGGTTTTTGTGTGTGTGTATTTACTAATGTGCGGGCACTATTTAAAGTTTTCATGTTTACCAGGCTGGTGCAAAAGTGAACGTGTTAAATGACATGGGGGACACGCCACTGCATCGAGCTGCCTTCACAGGACGAAAGGTGAAAAACGTTCCATTTTTCTCATTTGCAAGTGAGACCGTTGCAAGAGCAGTCACTGCTGTCTGTTCAGTCCTTCCACCTGCTCAGGCCCTGGGAAGCCACAGGAAAGTGTGGACAGCAGCCCTCTGCTCGGAAGGGCACGCGGGCCTCTGCTGCTCCAGATTGGACATGCTCAGCCTCCCAGCCTGTGCGCCCTCCCTCCCAAAAGCAACGCGTAACTGACACTGTCTCTGCTCACCTTGGGGAAGTATGCATTGCAGTGATTTATGGTGCAATTACACAGTTGTGTAGCCATCTCCACAACCTGGGTTTGGAACATTTCTATCCCTCTGCTAAGTTTCCTAGCTCCTCCGCACATTCATTCTCTGTGCCTGCCTCGAGCCCCAGGTTGCCATTTGTTTTTTTCTCCGCTCTAGATAGTTGCCATTCCCAGAGATTTCTTATAAATGGAGACACTCTTACACCATAGTGCTGTGGTTCATCTGTACTGCAGTGTGCTCTAGCACCACATGTGTGTAAGTGTGTGCACAGCTGTATAGGGCACAAGGCCAGAGGAGACCTCCTGTGTGCTGTTCTACCATTCAGTACCTAGCTCCTTTGAGATCTGGTCTCTCACACCCCCAGAGGTACCCTGGCAGCCAGCAATCCCAGCATGCCTCTTGTCTCCGTCCTCACGGTGCTGGGCTTACAGATGTGGATGCAATGATCCTAACTTTGTATGGGGCTTTGCACAAGGTCCTCGTGCTTGCACAGCAAATGCTTTTACTTGCTGAGTCATTTCCCTAGCACCTGTACTATTTCAGAGTGTTTTCCTGGAACCCCTGCATGTGCGTAACTCAGCGGACAGCTAGGGTCTAGGTAGCAGTGGTCTCACGTACTCCTTCTCATGGGGCTTCTGCTTTGCCTATGAGCTTTCAGAGTTCAGGCTTCTCTCACTTTTCTTTGTTCTGACAGGCCCACTCTTATTTCTCCTGCACCTGAGTGGTGTTGGCCAGTACCTGGAACTGTGGGGGAAGATAACCTACTCTCCTGTTCATTTATTTCTAGGATCTCTCTGTTAGGGCAAGCTGCCCAATGCTTGTGTGGTAAGCTTCAAAGAACTCTGTACATTAATCTTTGCTATCCATGAATATATTTCAATTACGGATGGGACTGAGATTGCCATTCAGCAGACTGAAAGACAGCTATGCAATCCCAGGAGTCCTTAAAAGTGTGAGAGGGAGGCAGAAGAGGAGTTGAATGAGAGAGAAATCTGTCCAGTTAGAAGCTATGCTTCTGGCTTGGAAAGTGTAGGAAGCAGCCATGAACCAAGGAATGTTGTTGAGAAGCCAGAACAGCAGGGTAACAAATTCCCTCAGCGAGCTTCTGGAAGCTCTGATCCTTCACTTCTTTGATTCACCAGTGAGCTGCATTTCAGAATTAATAAAGAGTGCAACTGTAGGATTAATTTGCAGGGTTGTAAAACCCCAGGCTTGTGTTAGTAAAGCAATAATAGAAAGCTCATACTCTATCAGGAAAAGCATCTTCATGCTGCCAACTTCTGTGGGTTTCTTTCCTACTGATGTTGCAGTTTTTACTTAGGGTTCTGTTTGCTGTGGGTTTTTGCCTTTTGTTCCCAAATCAAGTCAGTTGAGTATAGCAGCAAAGCTACCGGGTGTCACGGGCCGCTGTGCTCTGGACAGGCCTCCTTGGCACAGTCGGGGCTGGGGCGCTGCCTCAGCTAGAAGGCCGGTGGCATCTGGGGCCCCCTGACACAGTGACCTAGCACCTCTTGCCCAGTGTCCACTTCTCTTGGACACCAGTACCACGCGCAGGCTTATGTAGGTGGTTGTGTCCAGCTTTGTGGCCCTCTTTTCAGGGTAATCATTGTTTGGGCTTGTAATGCCCTAGCAGACAGCAGTCCCCTCATTTCAAATGTTGATGAATATTTTCTGCTATAAAAGAAGTGACCTGGTGAGTAAGTCGTAACATAGGCTGTGTTTCCTGTTGTCATATAACTGGTCGTGGGCTTTCATCCTCAAAGAGTACGTGTCACATTGCTCCACAGTTTCCATCCTTCCAGTGATGTTTCCTGTCAATCACCAGGACCCCACCTGCATGTTCTGGGACGTTTTGAATTAATCCCTTCTTGCCTGTTGGATCATAAGTTGACACTTGTGAACCAGGTGTGAAACCTTAACTAAAGCTGAAACAAATGCCTCTCCCTCCCTTTTTGTAGTTTTTAATTACCTAATTAATTAATCACTTTTACGACTCCCCTTTTTAAGACTGAACAACACACACAGTGTGACCCTTGCTGAGCCATAGGTGTAAATACTTCTTAAGATTTCCCTTCATGACTCAAACTGTCACCTGTTTCTATGAAAGTCAACATTCTGTTCCCATGTCTCCCCACTTGATCCATTCCTACCTGTTTCTGAAGCGAGTCTCCCTAAGTTCCTGACATTCCTCAGACACAGTTCAGAATGTCCACTGGTCTTACAGCTTGTGTGGGGGTTGCTGCTGTGTGTAGTTTACTCTTCCATGAGGCTCTGTCAGTGTTGCTCCCAGGGAATTAGCACATTGCATTTCATCCAGCATGAGCGCAGCATGGATCTCACTGCCCGTCCCTGACCACTTAGATCCACTCAGTTCAGTGTCTGTGCTCGGCTGTTTACGTATTTAGGCATTTCTACTATTTTTCTGAACTCTGAATATGTGATCACACTAAATTGGGCTGTAATCTGAAAATCCAACTATGTTCATGTAACATTTAGCTAAAGTAAATGGTTGTATCACATACAAATATTAAGCTCATATATGTAATAATTAAGTATAATTAGATTAGACAAAAAGTTTAATTTCTAATTGTGTTTACAAAACTACAAATTATCTTCTATCATGAATATAATTTTAAATATCTCATAAACATGATATTAAGTGATTTTTAAATAGAATATTGAGTTGAAATTTAGAAAAAATTGCTTAAATCCTGGTACTCTGAAAAATACTGACAAAGTCATCTCTCTAAATTTAACGGGAGTGCACGGTTGGCTTTTCTTGGTATGTTAGCGACACCTAGTGTTCCATACTGGAAATCAACATGACAATATTTTTAAGAGTTCTTTTGACATCTGTTCCTTTCTTTGTTTTTCAGAGAATTTATTATTCTAGAATTGTCATGCCTTTTGTAAATTGCTTTAAAAAGTGCCATAGTAAGTATGGTAAATATTTGGTCTTCAGTTTTTGTGGACTTGAACATAAATTTAAAATAAATGCTTTCCGCATCCTGCCCCTCAGGAGTTGTGTATCCTAACAGAGTGAAGTGGGATCTGAAGTTTGTGTAATGATCTCCTTGTACCTAAGGTGTATCACACACCATGCAAAGCTGATTGTTGTTTCACCAATTGGTAACAGAGACGGGTGCATGCATCTGTTCTCTGGGAAGCAAGCCGGGATGAAGCAAGTCTGTGCTGTGGGATCTCTGCTGTGGAAGGGCAGAGGTGTCAGGGATGGACAGGCTGTGGCTCAGTCTCTTGGAGTGCCTCAGCCACTTGGGGGAGTGCTGGAGAAGAGCGGGCCTTACAACTCTGTACTGCTAGGTGCTCCAGAGGCATGGCTGTGTGTGTCATGCTATAGCTGCTGCAGATAAAAGCTGCCTCCTGGCCACTCCCCAAACATGCAGTCAGAGATCTCCCTCATTCAGGGCTTTTTAGCAGTGTTGCAGAGCTTCTCCCACAGCCCGCCATTTGTGTAACTTAGCTCTACTTCTTCACCCATGTGTGGGAGTTCAGGGTGCCCAGGTGCCTCTCCAGAAGGAGGCCTGTGGGAAGGCTGGTTGAACATGGCAACTCTTGATGCACACCTGAATCACCTTCTTGCTGCCTGTTATCCATTCTGGATTATTATTATTTTTTTTAAGATTAATTTATTATTTATATAGTATTCTGCCTGTATGTGTTCCTGCACTCCAGAGGAGGGCACCAGCTTTCATTATAGGTGGTTGTGAGCCACCATGTGGTTACTGGGAATTGAACTCAGGACTTTTGGAAGAACAGCCAGTGCTCTTAACCTCTGAACCATCTCTCTAGCCCTCATTCCAGAGTCTTTACCTTTCGCTAGTGACAGGTTTCCTGGGGAGTGACTCAAACGCTCTACCCTGGTTACCGTTCCCTTCACTACCCTTGCCTATTTGCTCTCAACGGACAAGATCATGTACGGTGGTGTTTGCCTGTATTCCTGTCTGTGAGGAAGCAAAGGCAGGATCAGGAATTCCAGGCCTGCTGGGATACATAGGAATGCTCTGCCTTAAAACAAATAGACAAGCAAGTAGACAAGAGAAAAGCAAGAGACTGCCCAGGGCTTTTGTATACTGTCTCTGTGTTAGATGTCTCCTCCAGGACTTGTGTTCAGCCTTCCTTCTTTCAGATGATTAAGTTCATTGCCTCTGAGGGGGTGGTGACTGTTTTTGCCTCCTGGTTCTTGACACAGTATCCAGTATGTGTGTCTGTGTGTGCGTGTGAGTTGGGAACTGAATCAGGGTCATACATGCTAGTTAGGTGTTCTGGGCTGTCTTCCCAGATACTTGCTTTTTTTTTTTAAATTTTTTTATTAATTACACTTTATTCATTTTGTATCCCCCCATAAGCCCCTCCCTCCTCCCCTCCCGATCCCACCCTCCCTCCCCTTTCTGCATGCATGCCACTCCCCAAGTCCACTGATAGGGGAGGTTCTCCTCTCCTTTCTGATCTTAGTCTATCAGTTCTCATCAAAAGTGGATGCATTGTCCTCTCCCGTGGCCTGGTAAGGCTGCTCCCCCCTCAGGGGGAAGTGATCAAAGAGCAGGCCAATCAGATTATGTCAGAGGCAGTCCCTCTTCCCATTACTATGTAACCCACTTGGACACTGAACTGCCATGGGCTACATCTGTGCAGGGGTTCTAGGTTATCTCCACGAATAGTCCTTGGTTGGAGTATGAGTCTCTGGGAAGTTCCCCGCAGATACTTGCTTTTTAAAAATAT